AGGGCAATAAAATATTTAAACTTGTCACCAACCTTAACAAATGTTGCAGTGGTAAGGAGTGAATGAGCAATACTCCAGCAATATCACAGCGGGGGACACCAGAAATGGGCTCCACAGAGTCTACTCATGTGGGGGGGGCGGTGGGGTAGCCTAGTGGTTAAATCGTTGGCTCGTCACGCCGAAGACCCAGGTTCGATTCCCCACATGGGTACAATATGTGAAGGCTATTTCTGGTGTCCCCCGCCGTGATATTGCTGGAATATTGCTAAAAGCGGCCTAAAGCTAAACTCAGTCAGTCAGTCTACTCATGTAGGGAATTGAACCCAGGTCTTCAACGTGATGAGCAGACGTTCTAACCACAAGGACTGGCTAAAAGGACTGTTATAGAAAATATTGGTGATATTCAAAATGGTTAATAATTATCGATGTGAAAAGTGTTATCGATAATGTTGTACCTTAACTTTTGTGACAGAAACAATTTTCAAAAAAAAAAAATCTCAAACAAATGTACGACTTTATTTATGGTCTGTTTCTAAATTATGTTCATTTGTTAATAATCCATGTACGGAATCAAGCCCAGGTCTTCTGCACGACGAGCTTAAGCTTCAACCATTAGGCTACCCCACCATGCCGGTGATAAGGAAAGTCTGCTCTACCATTATCCTGACAGTATCCTGACAACCTTGACATTCACTAAAGACTAGCACAAAATTATACTGATTCTAGAGAATTATTCTGCAGCTGTTGTAATTGAAACATTCAATATACCATACTTGAAAAAATATTGTTTACCCAAAGTTCCTTTGATATGTTACCATGACACTGGCTCTTTTGTTGTCGATTTCTGTTATATTAAGTTTTTATTTTCTTGGTAGAAAACTTGTTACACGCTTCAGTAACCATTAACAGTTTTATGGCAACAAGGAAAAACAACTCGCCATTAATATCCTGACAACCTTGACATTCACAAAAATCTATTGTATATTATGCTGGTCAATATCACAAATTATTGATACCTTTGAAAAATACTCTACAGGAAACTTTCAAATGCTTGCAGGAGTATAGGAAACATTTTGTTATTTCCTTGCCTTTGCATACATGATCTTTTGAAGTTGCTCTCCTACCCCAGAGTTCCATGCAGCCAGCATAGACATTTGACGATTCGTCACATCTTGCACAGTCCATTCAATATATTGTACATATTTCTTAACTCTTTTATTTTTGATGAGTCTTCATATGTAGTTATACAGCTTTGATAGAAAGGTTTAATTTCACTGAGAAAATATCCTTAAATGTGTAACACTACGTGATTTGCGTAGTGATCCTTTGTTTACATTGGTTGTGCGGTTTCACATGCTGTCATCAAAACATTATGGAGAGCAAGTGATGCAGTCACTTATATAAATATGTATCGTCATAACCTGTCACAGTTGTAGAAGAATATCTTAAGGTTTTACCTTGACTTTCAAAAGTGGGATCCAAGGGACCCCCATCAATAAATGTTACAGGTCCTAGCTGGTTATATGAGGGTCCTATCAAGTCTTGAAATGGTGTAGTGCAGTGTACGTTATGATAAATACTTCAGAGCCTGGAATAAATCAGTGGTCATGTGGACAGTGGTCAAGACTGATGGATGAAATTACAGACCCAGATAACTACTCCTGATGCAGTGTAGGTATTATTGTGTGTCTCTTCGGACGCAGTATTTTTTAGTTTCTGCGACCATTCTCTACATTTGTGCATACTAGCGCACATTTGTGCGTCTTGTAAAATCCTGATATCTACATAATGTGAAACAATATGCAGTACCGAAAAACTTGCACTAGGCCAGTCTAGTCTGATTTACAAATATGCGCGTTTGTTTACAAACATGAAAAAAGTCTGGTCACGTGATATGCAAATTAGCCAGTGGCAGTGACATTATTCTAAGTCATCGCAACACCGGAGTGTGCTTTTGAAGTATGTGACTGGTGAAAACAGTCAGCCATTGATCGAAACAGACGCATGTAGCGTACTTTATTAATCTCTAACACTTGGAGGCCCGTTACATTAACAAGAGTAATTTTCTCACAAATCACAAAGGCACCAACACCCATCTGGTTGACAGATTTTGAGCTGTGTTGTGTTTTTTTTTAGATCAGATGGACATTTTTGGTTACATTCTTCATAAAGCTGGCTTTACGTTGTATTATTTTCTTTTGCTTCCATCAAGAGGCTAGCCATTGTTTGAGGAGCCTTTAAGACACCCTTGTGTGTAAAATGTAGGGGGAATGTTTAATGGGCCTGTACACTGTCACAGCCAATTGATTGAATGCTCAAAAACATGACAGCAGCATTGGCCCAGGTACTCAAAGGTTGGTTTGTTAAGATCAGGCTGTTGATTAGATTTGAACTGTTTGATGGGTTTGGCTGGCTCTGCTCATCCGTCTTTCTCCAAAATTAAGGGGCTCCTTTTGGGGTAATGCTTAGTCTCTGGATACATGTAACTTTGAAAGAAACAAATAATTCAAGGTATTAAACAGGAGCCCTAGTGAGGTGGGAGATTTGAACCTGAAGAAATCTAGACTTGTTTTATTTAGGGTATTCAAATTACAGAAGGACTGAGTGTGGCTTTACAGCAACATCACACCAGGGACACCAGAAATGGGCTTCACACATTTTACCCATGTACAAAATTAACACTGAAAGCTGACACTTGGATTAAATAATTTGTAATGCTTTTCTTGAAGATACATTAGTGGGTAAGATTACAGAATACCGGCGGATACCTTCCTAACCATAGGGTTAGGGTTAGGGCAAGGTAAGGGTAAGGTTTAGGGTTCGGGTTAGGGCAAGGGTTATAAAATTAGGGTTAGGGTAAGGTTTAGGGTTCGGGTTAGGGTTAGGGTAACGTGACATTAAACAATATGGTTGGTATGTATCCGGTATTCTGTAAGTGTACCCATTAGTGTTGGTATTTTGGTGTTTAATGACCCACTCAGCAACATTCCAGCAAAGTTTTCATTTATCATCATCATCATCATCATCATCATCATCATCATCATCATCAGTATTCTCTGTTGATCCTAGTGGCCCCCACAATCTTTAATTTTTCGAAAGACTATTTGAAGTAAAGAAATCATCATCATCTGTCAAAGTATTACTTTTATCATCATTATCATCACGCTCGTCAAGCCAAAGACCCAGGTTCGATTCCCCACATGGGTACAATGTGTGAAGCCCACCCGGTGTCCCTCGCCGTAATATTCCTAGAATATTGCTAAAAGCGGCGTAAAACCACACTCACTCACTCACTCATCATCATCATCAGTAATTTCTGTTAATCCTAGTGGTCCCCTCAATCTTTAATTGTTAGAAAGACCCTTTGATCTGCATGCTGAAGTAAGAAAAAGTGCAGGCGCACTCAATCACTTTGTGCTATGTGCGCTGGCATTTGTAATACTTACTCGATGCATCTTACATTCCTCATTAATGGGATGGGTGGGTCCAGAGAGAGTGTCGTTGTTGTCCCACTTGCACTAAGTGATACTGCTCAACTATCAATGCAATGTTGCTTTGAATTATGACAAGGTCTTATCATTAAAGTGCTTTGTGTTCATGGGCCAAGCTTAACAAAATATCCGTTGACATTACCCACCACTTTGAATGCAAAAGCTATTTAGATGGGCAGATAATTTTTCATTTGATGGATGGGTGAAGTGATTTCCAAACAAGTTTGTGGAAGACAAAGAGCTAGTAATGTAAGTCATTAGGTGCGTTTAGAGCGTCCGCCCGCGGAGAGCGGAAGGTCGCGGGTTCGATCCCCGACCGCGTCATACCAAAAGACGTTAAAATATGGTACTTGTTGGTCCCTGTCTTGCGCTCGGCATTAATGGGTACATCAAGGACTGGTCGGCTCGGAGTCAGTATAATGTGTCTGAGTGGGGTATTCATGCTTCACTGCGGCATGGTATCTCAGTGGGCTAGCACTATAAAACCAGCTTCATTCTTGGCTAGTACAAGCAGCCGCACATACACATACACATGCATGCACGTCGTCATATGAGCGAAATATTCTCAAGCACGACATTAAACCCAATTTCACCTCACGTCACCATTAGGTGCGTTGTAGTTTTATTTGTTTGTTATTTAACGCTGCACTCAGCAATATTTCAGCTATAAGGCAACAATCTGTGAATAATCGAGTCTGGACCAGACAGTCCTGTGATCAACAGCACGAGCATTGTTCTACACCATTGGGATACAATGATATGTGTCACCCAAGTCAGCGAACCTAACCACTTGCGATTTTGTTAGTCGCCTTATACGACAAGCATGGGTTACTGAAGACCAATTCTAAAGGGGATCTTCATGGGTTAAGTGCATTGTAGTGCACATAAGCTCTGTGAAGATCTGTTTCTAAGTAGTCTTCAGCAACTCATGCTTGTTGTGAGAAGTAGGTGCCGGGATGACATGCTAACTTTGTTGAGACGTGTCATTGTTTCCATATTGTGTAGATTGATGTTCATGATAGCAATCACTGGATTGTCAGGTCCAGATTATGTTACACGTTCACCTTCAAAATAGTTGAGTTCAGTGTTAAACAACAAACAAGCTTTGGTGTTACAGTAAATGTAGGTGCAAGTTTCATATGCAGGACTAAACGCTGCCATTGATCATGAAGAAGACCTGGGTTTGATTCCCCACATTTGTACAATTAGTGAAACCCATTCCTTGTGTCTCCTGGATACTGCTGGAATAAATTGTTTAAAGCTATTCTCACTCACTCACTCACTCACTCACTCACTCACTCACTCACTCACTCACTCACTCACTCACTCACTCACTCACTCACTCACTCGGGAGCGGTGGGGTAGCCTAGTGGTTAAAGCGTTGGCTCGTCACGCCGAAGACCCGAGTTCGAATCCCCACATGGGTACAATGTGTTAAGCCCATTTCTGGTGTCCCCCTCCGTGATGTTGCTGGAATATTGCTAAAAGCGGCGTAAAACCAAAACTCACTCACTCACTCACTCACTCACACTAATATCTAGACTGCAGTTCACTGCTTCTGAATCTCTATTTGCCTTGAAAATACATATCATTACTATTACTTTTTTTTATGTCAAACCCATTATATTAACTTCCAATTTCAAATTAGATTTCATCCAATGAATACTGAAGTGCCACATTAATTTGCAAGGTGATAAGTGCACTAACATGTGTGATACATATTCAGTGTGTCTTGTAATGAATACAGGTTTGAACTGTGATATGTCTGTCTTCTCCATCTGTGATCATGTGATACTGTGATATTGCTTCCTGCAGCTGTTGCTGTTGTTAAATATCCTGGTACTGCTTTCCTTAACACCATTTACATCACAGCATGTCGGTGAACCTCAATTGGCCCAGGCACAACATACATATTGTATGGGGAAATTCAATATATTTAATGTCATATTGTTATTAACAGAAGGCACAAAATAATATTTATTTAAAAAGGGCTGTGTTTTTTTATTTTAGAATTAATTCTCAGGACATTTGTTTGAGAATTTGTGTGAAATGAAAATGGTAAGAGTAACTTCGGTTTGATTACCTTGGAGAGAATGCCAAAACATTGTCCTTTTAAGTTGAATAGATATTCGGGTCCAAAACATGAACATGGAGTCCCAGGTGGGCCACATATGCGATGTTCACCATTTTTACTGGATTTCCAACAATGTTACATGTTTCACATGTTAGGTTTAAGTTTATTATATTGTAGTTTGGGAATTTAAAGTCAAGTTGAAGATAAACAGCTATAAGTACAAGAATAGAATTGCAGTTATCTGTGTAGTGGAATCTACAAGTTTGATAAATTTTAAACATTGAACAGACAATATTCTTTGGCATCACACAGGTCTCCCAACTTCAAATGTGTCCATCTTTTTGTATATGGATATAGTATGCAATATTTTTCATTTGGTAGAACCTAGAAATTCTTTTCACATGGACTTGAATGTAAACAGTTTAATGGGGATTGGGTGGTTAGTATGGTTTTGTGTTATGATGACTCCCTCGCTCGCTCACTCACTCACTCACTCAATCACTAATCCACTAATCCACTCACTTTGCTATGTTAAAGACACTTTATGTTAAAGAAATTTTATGTTAGTTTGAATCAGGGAGCTTGGATAACATGGTGTTATCCTATCGTCCTGTTTGTCAAGTTTTCGTGAGGTTTCTTTGTCAGTAACAGCCAGTACCACTGAATATATTGGGCGACAATTATAATTGCTTTTGGCTGAGTATTCAGCTTTTGCTAAGCTCTGAGTCAGCATAAATTTCCAGCACTGAGTCATGGTTGTTGTTTTTTAGCTGGCCAATTATCAAAAATTGAATGATTACATAAACAGATCCTGAACAGGAAGTTTTCATTTTCACAGAAGTAATGTGCATGAGGTTAAAGATTATGATTAGTGCACAACAATGCATGTGATAATTTTTAAGAGGCAGTCAAAAAATAATTTTGAAATGACAAAATATTTCTCCTGAAACGGTTTCAGTCAGATTTTTATTTGTGGAAGGTTATTGGTTAGTGGTTAAAGCATTAGCTCTTCACTCCGAAGACCTGGGTTCGATTCCCAACATGCATATGGGTACAATATGTGAAGCGCATTTCGGATGTCCCCCGCCATCTGGAACTCTTAGGAAGCCGCGGCAGCTGAGTGAGTTAGAAGTCCGACTTTGCGTGCCTGACTATGAGGGTGTGGGTTTGAATCCCTAATGGGACTCAACCCAACAAAAGTACTGGAATCTGTACTTTACTGAGAAAGTGTAATCAAAATATATGTGCTACATTTGACCGCTTTCTAAATGGCATTGTGTATTTCATACTTATTTGTTGCCCAGTTTTTTGGCCAAGGTCACTTAGTTTAAAATCCAAGAAAACAATTGGTAGTAAACAATCACCTTGTCAACTCCCACCATTTTGTATATTTGATATGTAGATATACTATCACTGTTATACTATGTTTAGTAACACCGTTGAATACAGACCTGCTGATCAATATGCAATATCACACCAAGGGACATATCTACACGATGATTCATACTAACATATGCCTGAGATCATATTACAGTGCAACAGTCTGGCAAAAACACATCATTTTTATCATTCTCACTCTGTCAGGGATTAAACATTCTGATATTTGATGTCATGCATGGGATGGATAGGAATGTCTAGAATTAATTATATTTGATGATGATGTCACTGCTGGAATATTTTGATTGTCTGAAACAGCTTTCAGGTCTATGTTGCAGTCTGTGAAATTCATTTTGACATTTCATGTATGTGAATAAATTGCAATTGTTGTGTTAGATGCATGTGGACTGCAGAATTGTATGACAAATTGTCAGAGAAAGGTTAGAAACCTAGTACGCATTAATAAATGAGTGTTTATTATTGCAATAAATTAAGGTTATGCTCAAAGGACTATTAAATTTGTTTTTCTTACCCTTCATTACTTGCAAAAGCATGTCCACCATGTTTTTTTCTCAGATTCATCTGTGCGCTGCTGTAGCCTAGTGGTTAAAGCGTTCGCTCATCACACCGAAGACCCAGGTTCTATTCCCCTCTAGGGTACAATGTGTGAAGCCCATTTCTGGTGTCCCCCATCATGATATTGCTGGAATATTTCTAAAAGCGGCATAAAAGTAAACTCACTCACTCACTCACTCAAACTGTTCATTTTCTTTTTTTCATTAACCCAAAGTGATACGGTCTCATTTTCTAACCACCAGAAAACTGAGTTTGATGAAAGTGTAACCTTTAGATACGCCGACCCCTTTCTACAGACCCCCTTTCCTAAATATTTGGCTTATTTACAGTCATATACAGTATTTATTCCTGATCTGCTGTAACTCAAGTGATAATATTTCTGACTGACAGTCACTGATTGAGACTAAAACAAGTTACATAAGAAAATATTGTTATATACCCAGTTTGCTATATACATTGATTTTTAGCTCAGTCCAGTAAAATTATGTTCCCCTGTTAAATCAGCTTGAAATAGTCTAATAATAACATCAAATGTATAGATTTGTTGCTTTGTTTGGTGTTTGGGCGACGAGAATCAGTTTTTTTGTCACAGTCTGGTACATTAGTGACGGTAAGTGAATGAGTTGATATTATTGACATCTCATCAATATTCAAGTAATGTTAGGAAAACCATATTCAGAATCAAACCCAGGCCTTGGTGTGATAAGCAAACACTTTAACCTCTAGGCTACCTCTTCATCGGTATCAAAGAATGTGACTGAAATATTACTTCATTTCAATGTATCTCTGTAATGGTTGGTACTGAAATATTAGTGAGTGAGTTGGTTTTACGCTGCTTGTAACAATATTTCATAAATCTAAATTATTGGACAGTTGGAAGTTGCAAAAATTTGGGTCCTACATTAAAAAGCATAGTAATAATATCATTTTCAATGCATTAGTGAGTGACTAAGAATAGTTTAACCCCACTCTTTTTCCGTCAATATCATGGCTGAGGATGCCAGAAATGGACTTCACATGTTGTACCCATTTGGAGAATCGAACCCTGGCCTTCGACGTGATGTATGCTTTAAACAGTCACAGCCTACCTCACCTCTTCTATTAAAATATGAATGAAAATATATCTCATATAATCTCATATAATAATGCTTTAATAATATGAGAAAAAAATACCCTTGGCTTTGAAATAAATGTTACTCAAATATTTTCGTGTCATTGACACGAAGGTTGTTTTCTAATTGTTGTAGGTTGATAACAAGCTAATTGGAACATTTTCCTGACTTGGCAAACTTTGAAACCTTTGGCTGTCACGGCAGAGATGAAGTACATTTTTATACTCCATTTATAAAATGTCATCCAAAGCCATTACCACATAAGTGGCCAAGTTTGGCCTGCATCCATCCATCAATCCAAGGTGCAGTGATAAGGACAAGATGGCTGCCACAGTTGCCGTCTGCTTCTTCCAAATGTCATCTGTTCATGTGTGCCACTCCCCTATGTTGAATGAGAACCAAGAGCAACAATGTCTTATTTGCTAACAATCAGTTCTCTGTAATAATGTGTGATTCATTGATTCAACTCCCAGATGAAATGCTTCTCTGACATTTCTGAGTATGCATAATGGATAGCGTTTGTTGTGTTTGAACTGTTTCAGATGATTATGTGTGGATTTGGTCTTCACTACTGATTGAAGCAGCAAGTCTTGTAAAACTAACACTTAGTCTCTGCATGCTGAATATATAGTCTTAAAAAAAGTAGGGGAACTTCATTTTCATTCATGTATGGGAATGTTTTGAACTTCATTTTTCATTTACAATTTAAAAACTCGGATACATCAGAGTCAATCAATGTTGATATGATAATAATGAATGTTTTCCCCTTGAGAGCATCACCACTTGCACTTCCTTCTTGTGGATGACCATAGTTGTTTGTTACAGTAAGCCCTTGAAAGATGATTGGTGTATGACACCTAAATTTGCATGTGTATAAGTCGATCGAATCTGTCATTTTAAAATGTAACAAAAACAAAAAACCCAGCTAGAAACAAACACTAACAACTGTATGCTGCAAGATGATTGTCAACATAAATGGTCTACAATGATATATCGGCCTTCTTGAAAACCGTCAAACAAGAATTAAACCCAATGACGTGTATGGGGCTACTGCATTTTGCACATACATCTCATGCGTTGTGTTTAGGGGTGGTTATAAAGAGAAATGGTGGTGCGTTCATAAGATGTCTGTCTTTGAAATGGTCGTTAACGCTTATACTTCCTATCCAATTTGAAAGTTTAGGTTTTCCAACTGTATTTTTAAGAGTCTATATAATTTTGATAGAAACAAATAATCCTATGTATGTTAAAAAGGAGCCCCAGTGAGATGGGAGATTCAAAACCTGAGGACATCTGGACTTTCATCATTTAGGGCTTCAGCATTGCAGGGAGGGATAAGGCAGTAGGGAAAATAATGTGGTTCAGGGACTGTGAGACAGACTAAAAGTGGTGAAGTTTTGAATGAATGAGGATATATTTTCAAAACGTTTTACAGTTGTTATTTTGTAATTGCTGATGGATATTAATTTTAATTACTGATATTGAGGTGTTTAATTTGTTGCTAAATCGTCAGTTTTCAATTATTTCAATCCCCAGACTTAGCGAATGATTTAATTAACTTCTTGATGACAAAATGAAATCATGGGAGACAACCATCTCTGTCAGACTTTTGAAAATGATGGAAAGGTAATTTGAAGCCTTACATAACTATTTTCATTGTTGTATGATAAATGTCAAATTTGACAACAGATTTGTAAATTGACAGCCCATCAGTTGAAATTGAGAAGGTAAATTAAGGTAATTGAGAATGTATTTTTAATAATTATAAATTTTGTGTCAGGGGTGCATCAGATATGCTGATGATCTAATGTGTGTGCTGGGCGTGTACAGAGTTAATGGTATGTGATGAGATGACCCTGACATTTAGTGGAAGACACGGAATAAGATAAGCAGGCATTGATTGATGTATTTTAGCAACTGTGGTATCACGGCAACTGTGTACACGATTAGGTTCCATTATGATTGAACAAATCTTATGGATAACTACTTTTATTTTGAGAGTACGACGTTTCGATACAGATTCTTGTACCGATGTCAAGCAGGAATGAATCTGTGTCAAAACGTCGCACTCACGAAATAAAAGAAGTTGTTTTCCATAAAGTTTGTTCAGTATTGTATTTCCAACCTTCTAAAATGCCACTGAAAGAAGTTACCATTAGGTTCCTTCCAGCTGTTTGTCTATTGTCTTGCACACAATTCTCATTGCGGAGTTACATACCCTTACCATGCCAGGATCAGCAGCAGAATAGGGATTCAGTTCACCCTGATTATGACTCTTGGTCTATCAGTGCCAGGGGTAGGTGTTGAGTATCACCAGATTGATAGTTGTCTACAACCAGCTTTAGGTTCGACATCCTTGCTAGATTTACTTGTAGATGTTTGAATATTTTATTAATCCACCTTTCATGGATAATTCATGGTTGTCATAATGGTCGTCACATGAAACATTCAAGTACAAACCTCCCATGAAGATCTGAGTTACAATTGGTAATCTTTAAACTTGTCATTGATAGGAGGTGACAAACAGGATGGTATGGTCAGACTCATTGACTTAGTTGATGCATGGCGTCATATCCCAGTTGCAAAAAGCAACCTCATGATGTCAGTTCATGGAGTAAAGGCTGTGATTATTTACAGACTGCTGTCAACTTCTTTGTGTTTCAGTGTTTGATGTCAAAATGTCTTTGTCTGATGTGAACTGATCTGTGTTTCAGTGTCTGATGTTAACCTGTCTGTGTCTCAGTGTCTGATGTTAACCTGTATCTCAGTGTTTGATGAGAACTTGTCTGTGTCTCAGTGTCTTATTTAAGCCTGTCTGTCTCACTGTCTGATGTTAACCTGTCTGTGTCTCAGTGTCTGATTTAAGCCTGTCTGTCTCACTGTCTGATGTTAACCTGTCTGTGTCTCACTGTCTGATGTTAACCTGTTTGTGTCTCAGTGTCTGATGTTAATCTGTCTGTGTCTCACTGTCTGATGTTAACCTGCCTGTGTATATCTGATGTTAACCTGTCTGTCTCACTGTCTGATGTTAACCTGTCTGTGTCTCAGTGTCTGATATTAATCTGTCTGTGTCTCAGTGTCTGATGTTAACCTGTCTGTATCTCACTGTCTGATGTTAACCTGACTGTGTCTCACTGTCTGATGTTAACCTGTATCTCAGTGTATGATGTTAACCTGTCTGTGGCTCACTGTCTGATGTTAACCTGACTGTGGGTCACTGTCGGATGTTAACTTGTCTGTATCTCAGTGTCTGATGTTAACCTGTCTGTGTCTCAGTGTCTGATGTTAATCTGACTGTGTCTCATCGTCTGATGTTAACCTGTCTGTGTCTCACTGTCTGATGTTAATCTGACTGTGTCTCAGTGTCTGATGTTAACCAGTCTGTGTCTCACTGTCTGATGTTAACCTGTCTGTGCCTCAGTGTCTGATGTTAACCTGTCTGTCTCAGTGTCTGATGTTAACCTGTCTGTGTCTGTCTGATGTTAACCTGTCTGTCTCAGTGTCTGATGTTAACCTGTCTGTGTCTGTCTGATGTTAACCTGTCTGTGTCTGTGTCTGATGTTAACCTGTCTGTCTCAGTGTCTGATGTTAACCTGACTGTGGGTCACTGTCGGATGTTAACTTGTCTGTATCTCACTGTCTGATGTTAACCTGTCTGTGTCTCAGTGTCTGATGTTAATCTGACTGTGTCTCACTGTCTGATGTTAACCTGTCTGTGTCTCACTGTCTGATGTTAACCTGTCTGTCTGTGTCTGATGTTAACCTGTCTGTCTCAGTGTCTGATGTTAACCTGCCTGTGTATATCTGATGTTAACCTGTCTGTGTCTGTGTCTGATGTTAACCTGTCTGTCTCAGTGTCTGATGTTAACCTGTCTGTGTCTCACTGTCTGATGTTAACCTGTCTGTGTTTCAGTTGTGCTGGTGGGGAGCTGTTCCACGAGTGTGTTATAGAAGAATCCTTCAAGGAGGCTGATGTTGTCCGCCTCATGATCCAGATCCTGGAGGGGCTCACATACCTACACGAACGCAACATAGTTCATCTAGATCTGAAGGTAACAGTGCCAGTGATAGATAATGCTTAGTCTCTGAATATGTGTAATATTGATAGTAACAAATAAACACATTTATATTCAAAAGTAGCCCAAGTCAGATGGGAAATTCAGAACCTGAGTAAATATGCACTTGGTTCGTTTAAGGCTTTAGCATTGCAGGGAGGGCTATTGACTAACGCTTAGTCTCTGAATATATGTAATTTTGATAGTATCAAATATGCCCATACACATTGAAGGAGTGAGTGATAGAGTTTAGTTTTACCCTGCACTCAGTAATATGCCAGCTATATGGCTGCGGTCTGTAAATAATTGAGTCTGGACCAGACAATCCAGTGATCAACAGCATGAGCATTGATATGCGCAATTGGGAACCGATGATATGTGTCAACCAAGTCAGCAAGCCTGACCACCCGATTCCGTTTGTCGCCTCTAAGCCAAGCATGGGTTACTGAAGATCAATATTCTAACCCGGATCTTCACGGGTCACACACATTGAAGGAACCCCAGTGATATTGGAGAGTCAGAACCTGAGGAAATCTAGACTTGCTTCATTTAAGGGAAAATAATGTGGTTCAGGAAATGTGAAATAGACTATGTCAATGACTGTGCTCTTTGTCTACATATTTTGTGTGCTAATGATTAGATGACCAGATTTTAAAGTTGACCTAAATTTTTATCAAAACTGAATTGTAAAATATTGAAATATTTGCATTTATTGAGTTGTGAACCTGTAAACTGGTATGCACACTTTATATAGAACCATATTTTGCATGCTGTTTTACACTTAAACCTCTACAAAGGAAAAAAAATATATTTGAAACCTGTTCTTAAATTACTTTATTTTTAGGTTAGTTATTGTCAAAAGTAATGCTAAAGGGAGACAAGTGCAGGCACTATTAGCAATAAGATGAGCGCCCATAAAGAAAAAGTTGAAAACTTTTTCACATCTGGTTCGAGCATACACACGCAACCATTAACAGAGCTGTAATTTAAGAGGCTGACCTGATCTGCTACTCTCTGTCTGTGTCTGTCTACTGCCTCCACACCCAGACAACAGACGCACGCTAGGTAGGCAGTTTGTTCCCGGTCAAGCTCAACATGCAGTCTGTTGGGATTTCTTTGCTCCACCAGGCCAAACAGGGTACTTAAATACAGACTTCATGTTTGTCTGCTTTCCAACTCCTTCTTAGATCGTACTCACTAGACGTTTTGATATGATTATTTTCAAGCATTTCATATTTTCACAAAGATGGTACTGTGAGCCTAAATAAGTGAGTTAGTGAGTGAGTTTAGTTTTACGCCGCTTTTATCAATATTCCAGCAATATCATGGCGGGGTACACCTGTAATGGGCTTCACACATGGTACCCATGTGGGGAATCAAACCCAGGTCTTCAGTGTGACGAGCAAACGCTTTTACCACTAGGCTACGCCACCACCCCGAATGAATGAGATAAAATTGAGAGTCACATCGTCAGTATTTCCACCATACCATGACTAGAAAGGTTTTCCATACATAATAAAAATGTTGTTCTTATGAAATCCAGTCATCAAAAGACTGTAAAATAATTAAACTATCACAGATGTTTTTTGAGACTAGTATGTAGCCATAAAATATATCATCATATTTAACAATGCAATATAAAATCAAGCTATAGATCACCAGCAACTGAAGGTAGATCACCTTACTAAGGGTTTGGGGTGGTGGGCTAGCCTAGTGGTTAAAGCGTTCGCTCGTCACGCCGAAGACCCGGGTTCGATTCCCCACATGGGTACAATGTGTTAAGCCCTTTTCTGGTGTTCCCCGCCGTGATATTGCTATAATATTGCTAAAAGCGGCGTAAAACCACACTCGCTCACTACTAAGGGTTGATGGGGACTTACAGTATGTTTGCTACCTGCATGGACCCCAGCAGGATTTACATCATCCCACAAGCAACTGGCAGTTATCAGCAAATCTGGCCAAACTTAAAAGAAAAATTCTATGATTTAAACCCTGTCAATGATAATTATCTTACCTCACACATAAATGTCACTTTCTGATTGGCTGAGCGCTCTTCTATTATTTTCAATGGTCCCCGCTTACAAGCGAGTAACATTTCAATGTACCCCGTTGTCAATGGCTACTCATTTGGTACTTCGTGGTAGTAATTCTTTATCTGAAATAACATTGAATCTCGTATGATGTACGGAAATTACCGATGTTTTGCGAATGCAGATCGATGGAAGGGAGATAACTCTAAATCTGTTTTTCTTGTCAGCCAAATCTAGCGATGGCTTTAAAAAGATTTGTACCCGTTCTTCAAACAATTCAAAATTAACATTAAGGTGTTCGGTAAGATAAATACGTTGTTCACTGGTCCCTCGGGGCCCATGGGTTGATGTACCCTCGATGTTTGTTCATGTTCCTTGAGCCCAAAGCCCATGCCCCCTCGTGACCAGTGAACAGCTTATAACATACCTTGGATGAAGGTAGGAAGGAGCATTGTTTTACTATGTATCTTGCTGTCAGAATATTAAATAGTGAATGATTTTGTGTTTGGGCACAATGGTTACATGCAAATTGAAATTGAAAATTATGATTAAAATTTGTGTTCTTGTCAATGCATGAACGGAACAATGACATCCCCCAAAATATTCATGATCCCATTTTATGTTTGTTAATTATAGTTATCATCTGAGTACATTTATTGTCATTAGATGAGATTTTCATCAACATATACCAGGCGGTTTGTTCACTAAAAGCGACATAAAACTAAACTCAATCCCTCAACATATGTCATTTTAGAAAATGCCCCAGAGACATTTTCAGTTGTTTGTTTGTTTTTCTTTGTTTTTTAAAAATGAAAACCAAACTATTTATTGTGGCTTGATTGACTCTAGGCAACGCAGATATCTGAGAAGATCACCTGCCACTTAATATTAAAGTAACAACAGTCTTCTGTTGTACAAATAGCTAAACCGTGATCGGGGCACATGGCAGCAGGCGTAATATCTGTGTTGTGTGCGACTCTGCTGTAGGAGGATTTATACACCATAGTGATTCAAGTGTTTTAATCCAATGTGGACTTTGAAAGTCTGTAGTGTGTATGAAGAAAATAGACTATAGTAGTGAGTATCAGCCATTAATATATTTCTCTCTCTTCATGAGTGACGTAATGTAACAAGATATATGTCTTATTATGCAATATTCAAGCATTTAAGTTACGTACAAGAACACTTATGGGGTCGCCAAACGCATCTCGCTCTCTCTATCTCCCTTCTTCCCTCCTTTCCTCCATCCCTCCCTCTTTCTCTATCTATCTATCTATCTATCTATCCATCTAGTTATTCACATCAATAATCTGATAGAACGATAGTAACTATTGTGCTCAAACCCTCAAACTAATTCTTTAAGTCCATTATTTTAACAAATGTTCTAACTTTTTTCTTAAAGAAAGGTCTTCAGTAAAATCCTTTCTCTATCTGAAATCTCCCCGAAAAGAAAACTGCTGATGAAGCAGAAAGAAATAGCTGCTATTTTAATTTGTATTGATTTTTGTCCTGCATTGGGTTGGGATGTAGACAGTTGTTGCCTGGTTTCCTGGTAACAGCCACATCTCTACATGTCAGACTCAACTTGCGTTTCAAAAACCCCTTTCATGTGGGTCTATACATCTGTGTTATCAGCTTCCCACGTCTGAGTGAATCCTGTTATTTTCCACTGCCATCTCCAGAGTCTTGATTTGTGGGTGTACTGTTCAATACACCTCATGGCCCCTAAAGATCTGGGCCCTGTTCCTCAAAGTGATCATAAGGCTACGACTGTCGTAAGTCGATGTTAAAGTATGGGAGTTATGATCATCGTAGCGCTACGATCGCTTTGAGGAACAGAGCCAAGGGTTAGAATTGGTCTTCAGCAACCAATGCTTGTCGTAAGAGGCGACTAACGGGATTGGGTGGTCAGGCTCACCAACTTGGTTGACACATGTCATCGTATCCCAAATGTGTAGGTGGATGCTTATGATATTGATCACTGGTTTGTCTGGTCCACACTGGATTGTTTACAGACGGCCACCATATAGCTGAATTATTGTGATTTAAACAATAAACAGCCAATACATCTTGTCCATTTACTTCAAATATGGATGCTTGATACACCTCCTCCTGTGAATTGATTTAACCTTTTTGTGAACTGGGATATAGATCTACCATTCGTTTGTCAGATCTGAAAGTAGAGGGGATTGAATGATGAGTAAATTGGTCTCAGTGATGCTTTGAACAGTATTCAAGTCGAGACTCGATTATTTACAAACCGCCGCCATACCCTCGCGTCATGGGTTTCCGTGGTATTACGAAATTTACGACTATGAATATGATCGCTCATATTGCCAAGTCATATAAACATAATATAGTGTTAGACGACATACCTTTGTATCATTTAATATCAATAAAACACTTTTGTCATTCTGAAGTTCATTGTTGTCCGTATCGGACGACAGGCGGCCATTGTGCACAAACTCTAGTGACGTCATATGTTTCCGTGGTATTTCCTTCAGATCAAATTAAGGGCGCACAGCACATGTCACAATCTCACACATTGTCAACAGCCAATCCGGGAGTGTCAATGTAGGTTTACAGTAATATGGAAGTTGATAAATTGTAATACAGTAAACGATTTTGTAGAATTTACACAATAGTCACATTTCTTCAGCATAAATTTCCAGTTCATAAAATATGTAGAGTTGATACGGGATACATGAAATGAAAAGTGAAAAAACAACTTAAGAGATGACCCTATCGGGCTTCTATAGTTTAAAAAATAGAGCTGGGATTTCCCCCTTAGGTCACGTGATTGTTTTTATTGATGACATCAGCTAGCAGACGAGCGATATTTGGAAAACTTTGAAGCTGAGTAAGTTTATAGAAAATGTTTGCAAAGATCGCGCAAAAAATGCATTACGTGCTAGACATAAAGTTGCATTAGTTTTTAATAGTAGATGACTGTACGTACGCAAATTGATGAAAGTCTGAACATTTTTTGTTCAGACCCGTGCCGATCAACTGATGTACGTAAACAATCGATAGGTGGCGCGATTTGGCGAGTAGCTCGTGAGAAATTATGTCATTAGAAAATACCACGGAAACGTAAGTACCACGGAATCATATGACGGCATGGTATAGCTGGGATATTGCTGAGTGCTGTGTTAAACAACAACCAAACCAAACCAATAACAACCTACAGTTGGAGAGACAAGTTTGAGCAAGTTGATTCAAGAGTCTTCCACTGACTGTATATCACTGTTGCCAGTATGTTTGAATGATGAAACATGATCATTTCTATTTGCAGCCTCAGAATATTCTCTTCACAAAACCATACCCAGAAGGTGACATCAAGATATGTGATCTCGGCTTTGCCTGTCTCGTGAACACTGGAGAAGATATCCGTGATATCATCGGGACCCCAGATTATGTTGGTAAGATGGTGGTTTTTTCCTAAGGGTTCCCATTGTGCTTGATTGAGGGAGTGAGTGAGTTGGGTTTTATGGTGCTTTTTGCAGTATTTCAGCAATATCATGGCATGGTCACCAGGCTTGGGCTTCACACACAGGGAACTGAACTCAGGTCTTTGCCATAACAAGCAAATACTTTAACCACATAGCTAGTCCACCACCTAACCCTGTGCTTGAACTTTCAAGTCTTCAGGCAGTGTTCCCGTTCTCCGGTAATTACCGGATTTTTACCGATAAAAATTGTGAAGATCCGGTATTTTCAACTGCCGTCGGTAGCTGCCGCCGGTAAATTTTGTATTGCTTAAAGTTGCCATTTATCGGCAGATTTAATAAACTTGCAGATAACATCTTTGTTTATTCTTTGTTCTCTTCAGATCATTATCCAAACGTATATTGAAAACTAGGGTGGCAATCCCACATCTAAATATAGACTATATAGTTTTTTCACAGTTGTAAGAAGCGATTTTATTGGATCAAGATTGGTTTCTAATGACGCTTTTTCGCCACAGTCTGCTATAAGGGTCGTAATTGGTCAAAATCTGACACGTGACCTAAAGCAGCCAATCATATTACGGCAATGGATTCCGTCCTCGTAAACCAAAACTTTTAGATTTAGACAGAAGTTTTGGGTAAAATAATGCTATTCTGAACATATTAAGGAAGAAATCGCTACCTATACGTAAATTATGGAACTTTTTGGACGTATCGTGCTAGGTTATGACCTGTGACAAATATGCTTCATGTATATATTTTAGCATTAAACATCGTGTCCGAGCGTGAAGATTGAGGCGGCGAGAGCCGAGATGTCAGTTGTCAGTGACTTGACTTACATTACATGATCGCACAAAAACATGGAAAATAGTAATTTTATATGTACAACTTTTATGAATGTTGTTGATTTTATTCATTAGTTTATTCAATTGATTTAATGAATTCCTCGAAACATGGTTACTTTGCTCTTTGACAATGTTATTGTGGACCCGCTGCCGAAGCATGTGTCCGAGAATCGTTGTTTTCAACTCGTGAAATGCAGGTTGAAATTCACCACAGGTATATAAACACTAATTATTTGCACATTTCACAGTCATTTAGATAGCGAATGACATTCTGAACACATTTATCGAATTTAGTTTGACCGCTTTCATTTCCTGATTGTGACAAAATACGAGACGAACGGCTATATATGCCAAATGGCGAATACTTTTGTCAGGTCTAATGAGCATTCTCGAAAAACAAGCAACTCGTACGGCAGACTTTTCAACACATTTACGTACAGTATATCGTTGCGATTACTGATTAATTTGTCTCTCCGGATAAAAACTAGTTCAGCCGGAATTTTCAGACCCCGTCGGCATAAGCCGCCGGTAATTTTTAAAACCACCGGGAACACTGCTTCAGGCTTCAATTAATTATCATAATTGTGGAATTAGGTCTGTCATAAATGTTTTAATAGTTCAAGCATATCAGTGGGGTAGCCCAATGGTTAAAGCGTTCATTCTTGACACTGATAGTCCATGTTTGATTCACACGTGGGTCCAACATTCTGTTCTCCAGCTGAAGTCTGTGTGCTGTGAACACAAAATATTAACATGCACTGGGTTCCTGTTGATGTACATAAGAGGTTGCATTTAGCAGTTTCAGCTTGCTCCAGTACAAGTTCTAAATGCTTAAATCGAGCCCTGTAAGGCCATGCTCACTTAATCACTCATTAGACTTCACAAAATCTAAAGACTAAAGAAATGAAGAGCTTATTTACAACATAATGTCATCAGTCGTTCCTAAACCACACTGGTGGCATAGTTTAAGCAAGGAAAGACAAATGTAGACAATCTTTATATTCATGGAAGTAATATTAAAAGATAAAAACAAATTTTGCAGGGAACTAAATTCAAAGTAGTCCTGAATACCGTGATTCTTTCTCAGGTTAAGCTACCTGTGTGATGATGTGAAAGTCTTAAAGTGTTTGAATGACAGGGATAGATATCTGTGACCAGGGGCTTGTTCAAAGCGATTGTAGCTCTATGACTGTCTCAAGTCCATGTCGATGCTCATGCTGTTGATCACTGGATTGTCTGTTCCAGACTCTATTATTTACAGACCGCCGCCATATAGCTGGAATATTGCTGAGTGTGGCGTAAAACTAAATTGTTAAACTTATCCTATCTCACGGTATCCATCGCGAGAGAGATAGGATAAGTATATAAATATACAATTTATTATAAAATTTACAAATTTTTAAACTTATCCTATCTAACGCGATGGATACCGTGAGATAGGATAAGTATATAAATATACAATGTATTATAAAATTTACAAACTCACTGTCTCACGCTTAAGTCCATGTTAGAGTATGGACCTATGATGGTGTCAGAGGTAAGATAGCTTTGTTGGGCTGGGCCCTGGCTGTTTGATTGTTGCTCATGATTTCAACCACTTGTTCTCCACTCACTCAACTCACTCAGTCCATTCTGTTGTTACAGCTCCGGAAGTCCTGGACTATGAACCACTCAACACAATGACAGACATGTGGTAAGATTATAGCAAACACTCATCTATGTTCAGTTATTAAGTATTTGATACCTTGGAATTTACATGTTCATAGCTCAACAGTAAAGAGATCCATGTAAAGTCTGAAAATATGTTAATTCCTTTCTTCCATTGTTCTTCAGATAATGTACAGTGAACATTTTTTGCTGAAAATGTGTTAACACTTTTCCTGAGATGGGTACCCTTGAAGATCCGGGTTAGAATTGATCTTCAGTAACCCATGTTTGTCATAAGAGGTGACTGACGGGATTGGTGGTCAGGCTTGCTGACTTGGTTGACACATGTCATCGTATCCCAATTGTGTAGACGATACTAATGCTGTTGATCACTGGCTTGTCTGGTCCAGACTTGATTATTTACAAACTGCTGCCATATAGCTGGAATACTGCTGAGCGTGGTGTAATACTAAACTCACTCACTTACTCATGGCCCTGTGATCTGTTGTAGGAGTATGGGTGTTCTGGCGTACGTCATGTTGTCGGCGTGTGCGCCGTTCGCTCCGGGGAGAACAACCAGGAAACGTTTTGCAACATCTCCCAGGTGAAGCTGGACTTCCCACCCGAGCTGTTCGGGGAGACCAGCGACCAAGCTCAGGACTTCATCTCCTGCCTGCTGGTCAAGAACCCAAGGTAAGTGGGAACGAAGATACTGGTTCCACTTAATCCTAGTGATTTCATTCACTCATAGTGATTCCAGGTTATTAGAGACCTGTGAAGATCCGGGTTAGAATTGATCTTCCTCACATACTTCATCAGCATAACTGCAGGAATGTTATGGTCTGGAATTACAGATTTATACTGATTTTGATTCTTTAATTTCATTTGTCAGATATTTGTGGAGATCACTGACGTAAATATGTGCAGATTGCATCAGTTTGGTCATTCCTCCCTTCTTGAACAGACAGTATAATCAGGGTTTGCACGGGCTCGAAGAAAAGCCTGAAATATTGACATTTTCCCGGAAAAAGGTCCTTCATTCATTTTAGCCTTCACAACTCCCTAATTCCTAGTGATTGGCCCTAAGAAGGCCCTCTGTTCAACAAAACTTGTCAAGCTATGATTTTACAGGAAACTAACATGATACAAATACCTTGCAATGATGATGGGTGTAATTAATCTCCATCACAAAGCAGAACTTTCCCATTGCAGCGATGAAATTGAGAGTTATTTCCCTCTGAAGGTTGGTCCCACATTTGACCAACCTTGTGTATAGTCAACTATTTATGTGTTATATATAGAAAAGTATAATACTGTATGGATAACCACTACTTTATTTATTATGATGCGACGTTTCAGTATAGCTTCTTATACCGTTGTCAAGCAAGAGTAAAGTAATACAGCACAGAACCGACTTATATACATGTAACAGGGATTACGTAAGACAACATGAGGGAATACATCAAAGGGATTAACAACAACAACAATGGGGTAGGTAATGATACAATAACAATGGGAGGAAGGCAATGTTGGGGATTATTTACAGACCGCCGCCATATAGCTGGAATATTGCTGAGTGCAGCGTAAAACTACAAACCAGCAACAACCAGGAAAGTCCCAATAGTGCAGCATGGAGGTGTCCTTGACTTGAACAAAAATTTGTCCATATAGCTTGAATATTACTGAGTGCAGTGTAAAACTGAACTCACTCACTCACTGTATCTAAAAAAGCGTTGATACAGTAGATACATTAGGACATTTTGACTCAGTTGTCTCATTTTTCCATTTCAGAAAACGATTGACAGCTCGGCAGTGTCTGGACCACCAATGGCTCAAAACATCTGTTGACAACGCTGGGGTGCCGTTACTGCCATCCCCGTCAGACGCAGCTTTCGGTCTGTCTCAGGACCTTGGATCTACAGTCAACTACCACTCACAGTCTCGCGAAAATCAGGAAAACCTCATTAACGGCAAACAGTTGAAGGCCGCGTCAACCAGCATGTTGATGGAACTAAAGGAGAAAGATGCAAATTCTTGTCTAAACCATCAGAAGAGTACCATGTCTAATGCCGACAAGAGGCGGTCTATGGAAATTCCGCTGAAAAAATTACGTAGTGACGATAACGGCGAGCAGCCGCATAACCTGATGTGTGAAATATCTGCCAAGGCCGTCAAAGACAGTGTGAATATGTTCGAGAGCACAAGAACTTACAATGTCCAGAAGGAAGTGGATTTAGTATGTGGCGAGCACCAGAGAACGGACATGACGTCAATAAGCACGGATAATGACATAGACAGCAACATATTGCATGTGTCGCCCCTGGAGCAGGATATATGTATCAAGTCGAGTCCGGATTAATGCTAGTTTGGTTTAAACAACATATATGCGTGTTATGTACATGGGTGGTCACATACCTAATACTCACTTACAAGGGTGATGGGTTGATGTTGTACATGAGGCAATGCCCCCCTTAGATTACATTGGTTTAATGATGTAGATAGCTAGAAAAATGTCAGTGTATATAACAAGAATGAAACAATAGATTGAAGAACTCTTTTAAACACATTTTGTTTTATTGTTCAGCAGGTAAAGTTTCAGAATCGGGCGGTGGGGTAGCCTAGTTGTTAAGCGTTCGCTCCTCACATGGGTGCAATGTGTGAAGCCCATTTCTGGTGTCCCCCCGCCATGATACAAGTGGCGTAAAGCTAAACTCACTCACTCACTCACTGAATGGTGTGTTTCATGTGACACGAAGTAACCAAGATTTGAGCTTGTGTTATTCAGTATCCGTTCTAAAACATTTTGTGATGAAATCTCATGGGGGGCATTGTTTCCTTTACTGTCTTCTTCGGTAAAAACTAACGTTGTATGTAGTTTAGGACAGAAATGTATTCTGTCAAATAACTGATCATTTGTAAAGAAACAAAAACATTGTTTTGAAGTATTTGCCATCAAATGGTTGGACTTCTCTGCATCAATAGTATTAAGGATGTAACCTACTGTCAAACTCCTTGAAGCACATGTAAAATATATTTTGAAAATTCGGATAATTTTATTGGCATGAATGACATCAGCTAATTTTTTAGATGAAACAACGAACAAATTTCTACACATAGGAGGGCCTTGTGTGATTGGTTTCGATAATATTTATGTGAACCGGATTTAATCATGGAATATTTTCCATTGCTATTTTTAAAATTTTGCAATCCAAGGAGTCCTTTAGGAGTTCATCATCATGATGATTTCATTTGTGACTTGTCATTGACTTGCCATGTCTATTTGTGGAGTTTTTTCTCAGATTACCTCAGCCCTTTTCCCCTTAGTACCTCAAACATTGTGAAATCACAGTTGAAACCAGCACACTCATTGTCATTTGTCAGTCTACAGGAAAAGGAAAAATCTGCATAGGTGGAAAATGTCTATAGAAGAAAAAAGGATGCTTTTAGGCCATGAGGAGACTTAAAATACCTTCTATTCATTATGTGTTTCAATTAAAATATGCTGTGTTTTGAGTACCAATGGGCTCAAATTCTGGTTTTGCCTCGTAAAACTTTTGAAGGATGTCAGAATTGTCCGGATTTTAACAGCATGAGAGTCATCTCCCTTTGAAACTATGCAGGTACGTTCAGTGAGACCATATGCCAGTATATGGTTGTTGGTAATTAGCTTTCTGTCTTTTTGGAAACCATTCAGAAAAAGTGTTGTCACCAATTAGAATATTATTTCCTTCTTCACAGTCTTCATTAATTGAGTTTTTAGGTTGATAATCAACATTATCCATCAAACATATCTTTAACAAGCCCAGAAGATACTAGTTGTTACTTTATGATTGTAAAAACAGGGATTATAAAATATATGTTCAATTTTAACTTCATTAATGAAAGTCAAATTAGACTTAATGAAAGGTCCATCGGAGACATGTAGGTAGAGGGGTAGTAGCCATGTGGTTGGAGTGTCCGCCTGGTTTGAATCCACCCAGGTTTGAATCCACTCATGGGTGCAGTATGGGAACCCCCTTGTTGGTTCTGCAATACTGAGGCGAAAAAACATTGCTCACTCTTGGGTTGTTACGATGTCATGATGCGATACTTTGTCATGATATGACAGAACCTTCCTGCAGAGGTGACTGGAGCCATTATGTATTTCACAAGATTATCATTTAGAGTGAGTTTTGATAGTTTTCTGTTGGTATCTAGTATATGTTTATCCCTTTGGTCCTGTCTTTTGGGTATTTTACACCAGTAAAATATGACATTTTTAAAAATAATAGTATTTTGTGATCCACAAAGCGTTCTTAACGTTATGACATGTCGCTTATGAATGTCGTAGCTCTACAAACGTTTTGTGGATTGGGACCCTGTAAAGATATAAAGGTATCAAAGTTGCAGAAAGATTCTTTGGTAATTCAACTATTCGGTTAAAATATGATGGATTGCACCTAAAAGTAGTTTATCCACTTCATTTTCATACATTTGCTGGAATATTGCTAAAATCGGCGTAAAACCAAACTCAGTCAGTCAGTCATTTTCATACATAGCCTCAGAACAGCTGGTATAGTCTTGTTTTGTACTAGTGGCAACCATTTGCAGTACAGAGTCAGTGGCGGATCCAGGATGTGGGAGAAGGGGGTGCACATAGATTATGAAGTTCAAAGGTTAGGGTTCACACACCCGCAACCCCCTCTAGATAGCTCTGGATCTGAGTGTTGCCTCCCTTTGGCTCTCTCTGGAACCTGTGTTGGTTGGCTAGTATTGTGAATTATGTTTAGTGGGTTTCATCAAAACGCTATATGTATGAATACGACAGCAACACATAGGTCTTTCCTCCATGTGAAGTTGAAATATATGTTGGGGGTCTCATGGTCTCATCGCTAGTCACACCATAGACCCGCATTCAATTCCCCACATGGGTACAATATGTGAAGTCCAATTCTGGTGTCCCCTGCCATGTTTCGCCTGGAATTTTATTAAAACTGGCGTAAATCTATACTCACTCACTCAATGTCCTTAGGAATTCAGCATAAGCAAGACTACTCTCACTTCTATAGGTTCGTATTGTCACATGATATCAGGATAATTCTATCAAATCATGGCGCAAAGTATCACCATTGTGTATCGTTCCATCCCATGTCATCACCCCATATGTTATGGACTCTGGAATTACTAGATATTTTGTCAAGGATTTTGTATTTCCATGCATTCACAAAACATATCTCAATCAAAAGATCACTCTTTCATCGACCCTTTGAACATTGGACCAAAGTAAGCTAGCATCAAATTGTTGATAATCATATATACACAAGCTTTGTGGTTGTAGTCATGTCATGTTGAATGTTAAATAATTTTGATCTCCTTGAAAATTCATTCATGACTGATACCAAGAAATGGTTGTTAACAATCTTCTTGTCCTGAGACAGATTTGGATATGTACAGATCTGTTTCAACAATTCTTCATATGATATGTAATCCTAACGATGACAGTTTGAGAAGAAATTCAACAGAAAGGAATTGACTTAATGTTGTATTTATTCCTTGCAATAGAAAGTCAAGAATATTCATTGGCATATGAAATTTTAGTTTTGTATGTAGACAACCGAATCACGGCCTGTGAAAGTTTTGATAGTACAGTCACCATTCCAAGCAATTTACATAATGATCTCCCGATTTTTATTTCACATACATCAACATCAGTTTCAGTTTTGTTTTGATCATGAAACAACATTTGTGTGCATCAGGGGTTAATTTCTTGAAGCTGTGGTAGTGCAAAGACGATTAATACTATGTTATAACATAGACTCCAACCGTCATACAGTTATGATCGTTTCTTGAAATAGGTCCCTGGATCTCTCAATGCATCACCTTGACTTCCCCTTTCAAGGTCATATTCCCTCTGTTAGAATCCCAGTATTGCATAGATCGATGCTCATTCTGTTGATCATTGAATTATAGAGTCCAGGTTCGATTATTTACAGACTGCCCCAATATTGCTGAGTGTGGCATTAAACAACAAACAAATAGACTCTCAGTGAGTAATTCTTTTTCAGAAGTTTTCTAAATAGTAGTTGATCCAATAATACGCCTTTGAAGAAAATCTTGGTCTTAAGTATTTGACCCTTACTAAGAGCTGATTATTGAGAATTTTGGATCGCTGAATTGTGACATGTTTTAGGTAGTTTCTGCTTGAAATACAAAGGTACAATTACATCCTCTGTAATGGCCTTATTTGGGTGACCTGGGTCCAATCCGCAAAGCGTTAGGACCTATCGTAACTCTATAGTTTACCATAGGCTTATGAATGTCATAGCGCTACAAATACTTTGTGGATCGGGACCCAGATGGATCCACAGCCTTGCTACTCAATGTTTAAGTTTAAGTTTTACGAATAACACATCATTAAAAACATTTGTGATTTTTTCTATATGGCTAAAATCTTTGTCAATACTCAGTTTATTTGAGGGAAAAATACATTTAAATATCTGAGAAAATGTAAGACTAAGCATTCCGATTAATGTGCGATTTTTGCACGACCCAATTAAAACATCATCAATTTCATACTCTATTATTTATAATGAATATTACTGAATCAGACTCCATCACTTTCCTGAATATAGTAATGCCTGGTATATTGATATTAATGTGATCTTACATTACTTCATTTAGCAAGTTACAATGAACTGTTAGTTTCTAATTATGCAACATTAGCTTCATATTTGTTTACTTTGTTATGAGGTTTAAAACATTATGCAGTCAAGCTCAAGTCTTTTCACTGATAGACACTTAATTATGCAGTCTTGCTTGTAAATAACTGCAGTTCTGTGAATTAAAGTTGCTTCAAATCTTTATGCAAAACAGGAAATTTAAATTCCATTTCATTAGTGAGTGTTATTTAAGCAATATGTTTACTGTACAAATTATCAACATCTGTTAAAGCCTTATTATTTTCTCATTGATGAAGTCTTAAAATTTAAATCTTGTTGAGTGTCTCTAGTGTTTGGAAAAGTATGTTATGGATTATTATTTTTTTCAGTAATATATATATCATGTTTTTATTTTCATTTTTTCTTCATGCCAAGTCAGTTGAATAGTGATAGTGATTAAAAGCAGTTTTTTTTCAGATTTAATTACCTTTACTTTGACTTTAAAATTAAATGAATAAATTGTTAGTTTCATTTGTTTAAGATGCTTTAAAAGCCATGTTAGAAGAGACAAATCCCAGTCAAGGAAGGTTCAATAATGGTGATTTAACAATATCATTATTGTCCGTCATTTTCTAAGACGATTTAGAATATTCCAGTGTGTGTGACAGCCCAAGGTCATGTTAACGTTAAATTGTTGTTTACCAGGTTCATATTTCTATATTGTTTAGTTGTTGCATGAGAATAGTATATTTCAACTGTTGATACTGTTTCTATTACAACTGGTTCCATCCTTTCCACAAACATTGCACAATTTTATGGTGGAGAGATGAACGTGGGAAATTATGATGACAACCTCACAGAAAGGCTAAAAAATGTTTCTGATCTTAGTAAAAAAATTTACTCAAATCACAATTTGGATTACATACAGTGTTGTGTAGACAATTTAAGGAAAAGGTGATCTCTGAATTGTGTTATGCAATTTTAGGTCAAGGTCAAGGTCAAGTTCAAGTTCAAGGTCAAGGTCACTCCAGTTAAGCTTTGTAGGACCAACAAAGGTGTATAAACTTGTTTCTTGTCAGCAAAGTTCTGATTTTATACCATAAAGCTGATAAAGATTCTACAGGAACCACCAAAACCACTGTAAGAAAGTAAGTAAGTTGAGTTACATTGCCAAAGTGGTCAATTCTGTCATGGCATGTCTTTCATTGTCATTATGTCGACCCAAGTTCTCTCTCCCCCCTTTGTTATGTAAGTCAAGTGCCTTTGCCTTGACCATATTTGGTGAGGTGTTTTGAGCAGTTTAAGCACTTTTTATCACCGAGATGACAGGTAATCAATGGCAAATGGTTGCCCTGGTAACAGGGAACCACTATTGAACATATCAAATATGTTGTTGCACATGTGTTTGTCGTGCAGTCCGTTCACCGGTGTGTTGCTGCCTGCACGCTTTATCACTGATTGATCGCATGATGTTGCTGAAAGTCGTAGGTGATTATTCCTCGTATTCCTTCAGACAGCTTTTTTAATGTTGTGTAAAAGATAGGTAAAACCTGTTACCATTTCTCTATCCAAGAGATCCGAGCACTGTTACCATGGTTACAGATGAAATAGTAATAACCAAAATATTTCTTTCATTATTCCCATGTCTATGTGTTGTCATGACGATATTGTGCTCAGTTGACTTCTTTTGTTGACTGTGTATAGTGTAGAATTTTACATTTTGACTTTTAATGAGATAGTGTTTCATACAGGACACAGGTACGACGTAATGTGTTTTTTTAATTTAAGAAGGATTTTTCCAATCTGTAAATTCTGAACTGTTTATTTATCATATTATTAGCTAGAAATGATATGTGATTCTAGACGACGTAATCCGCCAAGTGTGAATGTTCAACCTGATATGTTATAATGCTGAATTGACATTTTTTTTTAAATCTGGGTTTTTCATTTTTCTGCATTCATTGCCTTAATACTCATTTGTGATTTAAAGATTTGTGATTCAAAGTCATTAAATAATTCTGTCTTTGAATACACAAGTGATTCAAGTGGTACCAGGATCAATTTTTTAGGAGAATGGAGAAAATGACTCAAGGCATATTTTGAGATTATTTTGTCCTAAGTGCTTAATTAACGGATGAACAATTTCATAATTAATCAAACCCAGATTGTAAGTGTTTTTTTAGAGTATTATGTCTCCAGCATTAATATTTTATCGATACAAGCATTTGTAAGCTTCCTTTTGTTCTGTGGCTATAGAATTATTTTTACAAGTGAAAAGTTAGAGCTTTTAGAAGGAAAGCTAGCTCAAGCAGCATTAGCACAATCAAGGGGGAGGTAAGTGTGTGATACTTGTCTCATTACCTCCCTTTGGTGAATTGTAAGATGGCAGTCATTAACTGGAAGAAAAGTTTGCAATGTTTATGTAAAATTAAAACTGATGTCTTAAGGAAACATTAATTAAATGTTAAAGTTTGTCAGGGTAAAAACGTGTTACAGTCAGGCTCAAAGGTTAATGTTTTATCAAAAGAAAATGCTTGCGAAATTCAGTTCAGGTTCTTCTTCAGTTATTTTCCATTCCAAATGGATGAGATACTGATTGTGTTTATCGTATACCTAATAACCTTACTGTCATGATGTATCATCACTGTCAGGGGGATTAGATGTCTTTGCAAAGGTAAGACAATAATGTGCTATGCAGAGTTGCTTCCCTTTGGAATGACTGAAACCCAGAATCATGGGTTCAAATCCCAGTTTGGACTCAAAAGTGGTATTGTCTGAATCCTGCATACATCAGACTTTGCTCGCAGGTTTAGATGATACACTGAACTACATTTATGATGAACTGATGGATATAAGAAACTGGCTGTATTTGGGGTGTTTCGGGTTCGTTTAATTTTTTGTCCTAGCCACTTGAGTCGAAATGCCTATAATAGACAATGGTTATAAGGAACTAAAGATAGTGACTCCTTTGAGATCTTTATAGCTGTAGTTCACCATCACCCAAATATAGATCAGATGTTGTTTACCCTGACTCACTAGCTCAGTTCTTATCATAACCCAGCTACAAAAATTTACTTGATTTGAAAACATGTTTTCCAAGTTATTGAAACTTCTATTGAGCAAGTTTTGATGACCGTACAGTATGCCATCATTTGTAAGAAACAAAATGGTGGTTTTTAGAAAAGCCTATCTCAAAGTGTGAGTTACTCCTGAGCTTTAGCTTCCAGATATTGATCTAGTTTCTCCTGTCTCCATGTTGATGATACAGTCAAACGCCATTGTGTCGTATTTACGGTTGTCTTTACGTAAAAGCGTTGTCACTGAGTATCCATAATAAGCAGAGATGCCAACCCTTACGATTTTATCGTATTCGATAAAATACACAACACAACACAAAATACGCGACTATGATAGCAGTAAAAATATACAAATTTTTAAAAATAATACATTAAATTAAATTATCAAATAGCATACGTACATTTCAACCACATTTTATTCAGTGTCAAGCTATATATGGATACTTACTACTGATTTAGGTGAGTGCAATGTCAATAACAAGGTCTTAGACTATATATTTACATTTTTTATTTAATATGAAAATTCTTTGGAAAAGTGCATACTAATTTTGGCCCCAAAATACTAATTTTTGCATCAGGTTTTGGCCAAAATACTAATTGGGCTAAATTAGGGTTGGCATCTCTGAATTAGTCATCCTTTTGATGTGTTGAACCTCGGATAACTGGAAGTATTTTCGTAGGTTCCTTCAACTTCGACGCAATGGTGTTTAACTGTAAAATAATGACTGACACAGTGTTCAACTCATTTCATGTTGTGATATTTCTGGCAATAATTAAAATGATTTAATATCCTCTTACATTCTGATGAGGAAAAAGAATTGATTCATATCCAAAAAGTAGACATTATATGGAGCAGACCTTCACACTGGATTCACATTAATACTGATTAAAAGGATTCTCTTTTGTATATTCCTTTGAAAGACCATAAGATAATGGCCTATTTGTGTCCACTTGAAAAGCCAAATTTATGAAATGATGACAAGCTTTTTTAATGTTAGAAATGTGATCATTCATGTTCATTTGACTGCAGAATAACTAGAATTTTGTCAGTTCTCAGAAAACAGTAAGAACATTTGTTGGGAAAATTGCTCCTTATTTCATCTTCTTCAGATGCTCGAAATATTTCCTTCTTTCTTCCATATGTGGTTGGTGGGGTAGCCTAGAGGTTAAAGCATTTGCTCATCACACGAAGACCAGGGTTTGATTCCCCACATGGGTACAATGTGTGAAGCCCATTTCTAGTATTCCAGTCACGATATTGCTGGAATATTGCTAAAAGTGGCGTAATATCATACTGACTCACTCGTTCATTTCTGTGACATCTCAGTTACAAAAATGCTGCAAGTCCAAAACATACAAGGGTTATAAGGAAAAAGGAGGCTGAATTTGTTTACCGTTGACAATTTTGTTAGTATTAGAATTTGAAATTTGCCTTTTCATGTGGTCCAAAATGGTCATTAGAATGCCTTGTCATTAATGTATGCATTAATTTCATAAATAAGTTGAAGTCAGTTTAGAATGTGTGAAATTTGTTTTGTCCTGTTCCAAGAAGCAATCTTAGAGCTATGACAGTCGTAACTCTCATACTTTAGTATGGACTTACCGCCATCTTAGCACTACCATAGCTATGTGGAACAAACCCATGTCCCTAGACACTCTGTTTGCCTGCCTGCAGACTGTCTGGCATGAAATGGCTGTCGAAAAGTATTTAGCAACAGTATTCCCCAAAGAAAAGCTCAAACTCCTGTTTCAAGACAAATCAGCTAAATTGTTGAATTGAAAGTGGCAGTTTTGTATGCCAGCACAGCCTAGAACTGATTGTCTTAGAATGTTTTTCAGACTTAAAAATCACTTGAAATTTAAGTGTTATGTTTGATGTATTTTGTGTATAGATATTTTTTTTATAGTAACATTTTCTTTAAGTGTTCAAATTTAAGAGTCACCTGCCCAAGTGTACTGATTGTGACAGAAAAAATGTTCTGAGAGACATTTGTGATTTTTAAATGTTTTTCTAAGTCCTCCATGTCTTGGTTTTAATGAACTTTCAGTTTTATAAACTGGAATATCCATGCTTGCTGAACATGGTAATGATTTAGAAAAGTACACAAGGGTGTTTTGAGAATGCGTTATGACCTACCATGCAGTCGTTCTAGATTGCACATCTGAGACCTGAGGTGCGCCGGGGTCGCCTGGTGGTGAAAACGTTCGCTTGTCACACTGAAGATCCGGGTTCAATTACCCAATGGGTACAAAGTATGAAGCCCATTTCTGGTGATCCCTGCTGTGATATTGCTGGAATAATGCTAAAAGCAGCGTAAAACTAAACTCACTTACTCCGAGACATCTGTCACTTCGGGTTTTCCTCATCCATTAAGTTGACATGCTGTTACACAACTGAAATACTGTTACAGCTGACCTCGAGTCAACTCACTCACTCACTCACTCACTCAAAGGTTGTAATGTCCGACTGGAAGAACTTCACTCCTGTTTGAAGGATGTTCCTTTCATTATGGCGTTCTGCTGCAGTCTGTACAACCTTGGCAGCTTTAGTGAGCTGTGTAGGAGATGTCCCTCCAGTGTAATGTGTGTCTCCACCAGTGTGGCCTAAGTCAGTTGTATGGGAGGTGCCCCTATAGTATTGCCTGTGAGCTGTATGGTAGGTGCCCCTATAGTATTGCCTGTGAGCTATACGGGAGGTGCCCCTATAGTATTGCCTGTGAGCTGTATGGGAGGTGCCCCTATAGTATTGCCTGTGAGCTGTATGAGAGGTGCCCCTATAGTATTGCCTGTGAGCTGTATGGTAGGTGCCCCTATAGTATTGCCTGTGAGCTGTATGGGAGGTGCCCCATAGTATTGCCTGTGAGCTGTATGGTAGGTGCTCCCCTATAGTATTGCCTGTGAGCTGTACGAGAGGTGCCCCTAAATTACTGCCTGTGAGCTGTATTGGATGTGCCCCTATAGTATTGCCTGTGAGCTGTATGGTTGGTGCCCCCATAGTTTTGCCTGTGAGCTGTATGGGAGGTGCCCACTAGTACTGCCTGTGAGCTATATGGGAGGTGCCCCTATAGTATCGCCTGTGAGCTGTATGGGTGGTGCCCCTATAGTATTGCCTGTGAGCTGTATGGGAGGTGCCCCTACATGAACTGCCTGTTTCCCCAAGTGTGGCCTGTGTGAACAGTTGGAATGTGCCCCTACAGAATTGTCTGTTTCCACCAGTGCGGCCTAAGCGAGCTGTATGGGAGGTGATCTAGCAGTATTGACTGGAAAGTGGCCAGTTGGTGACCTTGTGCAATAAGTCCTCATGTCAGCCTTCACTGTTCTGTATATATGTATGTATATATATCCCATGTTGATTGTAGAGCTTGAAGATAACATGTGTCACAACTATGTAATAAAGCACTAGAAACCTGAATCGAGTTTTGTTCTTGTTACCAATGTGTTTTATCGTAACCCTCTTGGGTTTTCACACCATTGTGAATCCAGATCAGAGTTGGTCCAAGGCCACCAAATTGGGACATGAGAGGCAGCTAAAGTGCATCAGATAGTCATGTTTGATGATGTTAAGGTACCTATCAGCATTGGCAAATGCTCATCATTTGCCAATCAAGATTTGCCAATTTGAATGGTAACATTGCGTGAAGAAATGTTTAATAAACAGTTGGTTGTCATGTGCCACACAATGCCAACATAGTCTCTGAAACAACTACCCTTGAAGGTCCGGGTTAGAATGAGGTGAGGTGAGGTGAAATTGGGTTTAACGTCGTTCTTGAGAATATTTCGCTCATATAACGACGTGCATGCATGTGTACGGGTATGTGCGGCGGCTTGTACTAGCCCAGACTTAAGCTGATTTTATAGTGCTAGCCCACTGAGATACCATGCCGCAGTGAAGCATGAATACCCCACTTAGACACATTATACTGACTCCGAGCCGACTAGTTCTTGTTGTACCCATTAATGCCGAGTGCCAGGCAGGGACCAAACAAGTACCATATTTTAAAGTCTTTTGGTATGACGCGGTCGGGGATTGAACCCGCGACCTTCCACTCTCCGGGCGGATGTCTAACCACTACACCACGGAGGCGGTCCCGGGTTAGAATGAACCTTCAGTAACCCATGCTTGTAGTAAGAGGCGACTAATGGGATCGGGTGGTCAGGCTCACTGGCTTGGTTGACACATGTCATCAGTTCCCAAATGCGCAGATCGATGCTCATGCTGTTGATCACTGGATTGTCTGGTCCAGACTCGATTATTTATAGACCCCACCTTATAGCTGGAATATTGCTGAGTGCGGAGTAAAACTAAACTCACTCACTCACTCTGAAACAATTCCCAGTCGCATGTATGTGATCCGAGTGATGCGATCACAGCCATTGCCTACTGTCTTTGGTGCACACACACAGAAAAGTGTCTGAATGCTTGCCAGGGGAAGATTGCACCACCTTTCAGTAACCGCATGGCCCGGACCCTGTTTTGTTTCTGAAGGACAGGGCCTTGTGTAAGGGCCATCTCCAGCTTGTACCTCATGTGTTCAATAAGGCTGAGGTCTGATAGGTGGGCTGATCACTCCATGCAAACAATTTCCTGCTCTAGGTAGGCACCAGTAGTGAGTGAGTAAGTTTAGTTTTACGCCGCTTTTAGCAATATTCCAGCTATATCACTGCGGGGGACACCAGAAATGGGCTTCACATATTGTACCCATGTGGGGAATCGAACCCGGGTCTTTGGCGTGACGAACGAACACTTTAACCACTGCTCTATGAAGTCTTGTGTATTAGCCGATGATGATGAAGTTCAGTTTGATTAAACAAGCATACTGTCTTGGGTGCACCTCCAGAATGTCATCCATGTAACACACCTGTCACCATACACAGGTGTAGGACACAGAGATAGCCTTTGTATGGGGAGGTAAATAACCAAAAAAAAGATTTAGGTTTTGGTTTTTTTTATGACCTCATTATACACTTAAGTGACCCAGTTAAACACTTGTGTGACCTCTTTAGCAAAGTTAAAATAGATAATTGACCAAATTAAACACCTGGTCAAGCTGAACAAACACCTATTGTGTCGATCTGTGTCTCGAGGTACATGCATGTACATGTGTTTGGACCCATTGTACACGACCTTGTCAGGACTAATACTGTTCTTAACCAAAACTTTGTATGAATCCTTTTGATGAGAATCATGCTTCTACTACAGTACTCACGAAAATAGAAATAAGATGTTTTTTGGGCGTTATTTCATAGTTTTGAACACAACTAAAGTATTGTATGACAATCGTTTTTTCCCCAACTTTTGCTTTTAACACTTTTTGTAAAATCGGCCAAAATAGATGAATTTACAGGACAGCAAATCGTGTCATTTTCACCTCTGCAATTTCATCGAAGTCAAAATGTACGTTTCTGATGCAAGCTGGTACGCGTATATAAACTATTTTATGAAAAACTTCATATACCATTCATTCTTTATTTCTTTTATCCTAATTGATATACCAAAAAATGGATTTGGGGATTTTCTCAGTACATTTATCATGGCTGTACTCTTGTTGAAAGTTTACTATTTTTACGAGTTTATTCATAGCTTTCATTGTCAATTGCACAATTGCTATGGCAATGCATGTGCAAATGCATCTTCCTGTCTAAATGTTGCACCCCCGGAAGAGGGTGTTGGTCGTTGCCATCAAAATTGCTCAAAACCGACAACAGCGTGATTTAGTTCAAGCGTCAATTTATTCTTCACCCCAATAAGATGGCGTCAGTGTGCGACGCTGGTTACAGCAAGTTTACAGTACAACAGAAATAGATGGATTGTCTCCCTTAGTTCAATGATCTGGTATTCCACAGATTAACTACAGGTATACAACCCACACCAAGTTGTCTCACTTACCTGGTAGCAAAACATTTACACATACCATACAACTCAGCATTAACCTTTGCATGGATGGTTAAGTATAATTCTGTTCTTACTCAATAGTTACTGACAAACAATAACTCATATTGGATGAATATATATGCTACACAGGCACTTCAACATGTACAAATAATCTGCATGAAACTATATATTTTAAATGGAGTAATACAGTAACTTGAATTATTATAACTCAACAGATAACTTCAGTTGAATACACGATATTTACAGTACAATCTAAATTTAATAACGTTTACCAATACTTGCATTCAACAAATATATTTCCCTGTTTCAACATATTTGTTACAGACCAAATTATGATCTAACCATTTCAAATCTAAACATCAGTTTCAAGGAATTTAAAATACTTTCGTAATGTTCTGTCCTTCTTACCGGAATAAAGTGCCCTTGACCTTATTTCCGATCTGTCCCAAACAGTATGCGCATAACCCTTACGACACTGACATGCTACTTTTGGTTCGCAGCAATTACAATTTACTCTAGCAATAATAATATTTTGGTCTGCCCACAATGTTGAATACATTTAATGAACTTCTAGGCTAGAATGCAAAAGAGAATGGTTGTAACCGACATATGTACAGCATCAAGCAAAATGGCAATCGACTTGCACTACAAATAGGTCACAAAGTTTTGTCGAAGGACAGATTCAAAGAACTAAACAAATGCACAGTTCCTAGTGTGTTGACATCCAAACAAAAGTGTAACATGACCTACAGGGGCTTACGAGGGAATGTGCTTGGTGTTGAGTAGGGGTGTCACGATACACCAATCTCACGATACGATACGTATCACGATTTTAAGGTCACGATACGATATCGCGATACATAATTTTCGCACCTTTTCATAGCATTACCTTACCGGCAACGTACGCGCTCGCTGATTGGTCCATCAAAATAGTGTAGCCAATCACAAAAGCTGTTAGTTTCCAACCTATTTTTTTAAGTAAAGCTAGCTACATCTATTTATCGGAGCTGTCTATTATAATTTTACTATCAAGACTTTGAAGGAGATGGATATAGCATAAAAAGTTGAATCGATAAAGTTTTAAAATAGGAATCGATACACGCAAGCATGTATCGCGTATCGTATCGTCAGTAAAAATGTATTGATGCACCTAGTGTTGAGTTTGAATACATACCTGAAAACAGACAACAGCGTGATTTAGTTCCAGCCTCAATTTATTCTTCTACCCAATAAGATGGCGTCAATGTGCGACGCTGGTGACGTCACATCTGCTGGCGATGTCACATCTACGCATTACCTCACAACCAGTTATGTATTCTGAACGAACGTTGGTTGGTTCGACTCACATAAAAATAGGGGGGGTACCTATTTCAACATAATTTTAGCTTAAACTTAACAAAAATATATATGTCAATTCTAAAGGGCTAACATAAACATAGATGCAGGTAGATAGATGCACCCATTGTTGATTGTGCCGTAAGTTATAACATGTTTCTTATTTTGTTGATAATATGCAAATCGTTATTATTTTTACCTGTAAAATGGTATTTTGGATGATCATTAGAGGACCAAATTAAAAGGCCTAGTTGGGAAAACATAGTTATTTTAATATTTGTTAAAACTACCTATTTGCTGTAACCAGGGGGATTGAGAGGAAAATCCGCCATCATTTTTTATGACGTCATCAAAACCTGGCCTATTGTTTGAGTCTATTTTTAGAAACGGCCCCTAGTTACAGTCTATATTTAGACGATGTCTATTTTTAGAAACGGCCTCTAGTAACAGTCTATATTTAGACGATGAGTTATGTTTCTATTTTTAGACTTCACATAGTCTATAGTTAGACGATGACTCATGTTCTACATGGGTTTCCCCACAACTTATTTTTAGACTCAGGTGGGTAATATAAGACCCCC